AGTGTACTGAACACACAAAGCTTGCTTCAACTTCATGCCCTATGAACTTGCTTTTTCCTCTAGCGGGATCTCCCCCAAAATCTCTGCAGCTTTTTCATCATTTAAATCTCAGTTCAAATGTCATTTTCCTTGAGTCTTCTGATTATTTAATCCAAATTATACCTGTCCCTTCACCCCACCAACACTCTCATCACATCTTTAACCACATCACACCATATCTAAGAAATATTTAAACAGTCTCCTGAACGTGTAAAACAAACCAGAAAGTCACTAAAGCTTCATGTTAAGAGTTAGGACCATCAAACTACCAAAGAAGAGGAAAAGCCAACATTGTGACATTAGGAGATGATGAGAAAGTCTAATGTTTTCTGTGTAAAAGTTAAAAGTTTAGGCAAGATTAAGCCCTGCATGAGTGACAGGTGGTTTCATCTTAGTCAGAAGCCACAGTTTAGAGAAGAAAAAGGGCTTGTGATAAACAAGATACCTCCAGGAAGATCACATTGAGCTTCTAATTATTCATTCCTCTTTATCCCATGGCAAGTTTCCTTTCCTACATTGTTCTCCAAAGACTGTGACTGGGCCTGATCCATCTTTGTGCCACCCCAGTGCTCAGCACAGGGTATGACACCCACCAGATTTGTTGAACAGAACCAAGCCTCCTATTTATGAGATGGCAAAATCACTTCATCAACATAAATACTGATTACTACCCCAAAGTGCAAGAGTGCTGCACTCAGGGTCCTCTGCAGGTTCAACTTTTGAGTCAGAATGTTCTGAGTTAAGAATTATCCCTATGCTGCTAATTCCATGATGTCTTCTGTCCCTGGACCCATGGGGATCCAAAAGCTCTTAAACACGGCTGATTTCCTCTTTAAACTATGCCTGCAATTCCAATCTTTACCACCAGGTGACAGAATTATACAAATCTTATCAAAACTAGTTTAATCTCTGACTACTTCTAGTTAACATATGCTCTAAATTAAAACAATATTCATACATATATGCATATATTTTAAAACTTATATTGGCATAGTTTTACAAGTGTAATACCCACAGTTGGCCAGCATTTGGGAAAATATGCAGCATTTATTCATTGTTGGTGGGAATGTAAATTAGTATAGTCTCCTGGAGGGCAATTTGGTAATACACATCAAAAGCCTTAAACATGTGCAAACCCTTTGGTGCAGCAACTCCACTTTTAGTTATTTATTCTAAGGAGATAATCATGGAAATAAGCCTATATTTATTCCCAGGATGTTGACTGTAAGGGTGAAAAATTATCAATATAAATAATTTAACTTTGAGACTAGTTAAATAAATGATATATAGGATCAAACACGATGTAGTCATTACCTTCTCTAAGGATTTTTAATGATGTGGAAACATCTTACAATATATTTAGTGAAAAGAAAAGTACAAAAATTATGTCCAATGTAATTGTACTTTAGATTATGAGACTGACGTTCTGCCTACTGTGCTAAGAAGACACTTGTAATTCTATTTTAAAAGCAATACATATGAAAGCAAACTTGCAGGTAAGAAATGCTAGACCCACCACCAACATCTTGAGAGGACTTATCTGTGGGGAGCAGAATTAGAGATGAATGATTTTTCCTTCTTTGTGTTTTTCTCTATTGTCCACATGTTTTGCAATAAACATGCTTTTTGTTGTAATCAGGAGAGGCTGTTAATGAATACTTGGGAGCGAAGAGGACAGCCCAGCCTCTGTGCATGGAGAGCATGGACAGGGCAAGTAGCGCCCCTGTTGCCTCTGACTTTCTCGAGTCCACAACCTGCCGCACAGATGTGGGTGGCTCCTATGCCACGTGTCCTCCAGCCACTCCCATTGGGTCCACATACGGACCTGGTTTCAGCTGAGGGAGCCAGCCTGAGTTAACCCAGCAAAGCGGCTGATGGTCTCCACCATTGCCTCCTGCCAAACTGTATTCTTGCTCTTAGGAAGTGATAAGGTTCTAACACAGAGAGAGAGAGAGAGAGAGAGAGAGAGAGAGAGACAGGGAGAGGGAGAGAGAGTCCTCCTTGAGGCTGGTCCTGAAGTTTACTAAGCTACAAGAAAAACCCCTCCTTTTTCTAAAACTGACCATTCTCAAAGTTGTTTTTCTTTCCAAATACTGCAAATTTATGCTGAGTAGATTAGAATGATTTATTAAACCCATCTTTCCTTGAGAATTTCAACAGTGAGGAAAGGCAGTGACATTTATGGAAGGGCTGCCACACACGGGATTAGACATGGACTCTGTCTGACACTCATTTAACCCCAGCTCTGCGGGTGTGATCTCCCCAGGCCCAAGAGGTCAAATAGCCTGCCCAAGTCCACACAGGTGACCCACTTAAAGCTCATGGCGATCCTCTGCACGAGGGGTCTCTGAGGTGGCTCAGGCCCTTTGCACGAGGCAGTCAACCTAGCCTCTGGGATGGTCACATGGAGCTGTCTACAAATACATCACAGGCTGAGAGCTGGGCAGAGCCCTTCTGTCCTCCACAGGTCAAGAGATAGGGATTTCTGCTCAGACCTGGACCCAGGAGCCTGCAGAAGTTCCTCCCGCTCCTTGCAAGGGGCTGCTTTCCTCCTGCAGGGGAAGCTGAGCAGGGTGTCCGCCCCACCCTGTGGGTCTCACGGAAGGAATGGCCCCAGTGCGGTGTGAGAATGAGGGCTTGAAGGTGTATAGCGGGGCTTGCCCCTGGTGCTGGCAAGGTGAATGCCCTGAATCCAACCCACCCAGGGAAGATGCCTACCTCTGTGTAGAAATGGGGGTCTTTGTATAAGATGGGGCCGGGTGACCTCAGGAAGAAGGCCATTGTGGGCTGTGATGCCAGCTTCCTGGAGACGTTGACAGGGTCCCCTCACCCCTCACTGGGCCCAGCCTGCTCAGGCTTCCCAGTGATTGGCAAGCTGCCGGTGAAACCAGGGGCATGGCTGCCAGAGCTGCCTGTACACAGGAAGTAGGGGGGCTTGCTGGACCCCAGCTCTCTTCCTTCCAAGACAGCTCCCAGTGTCAAGTCTGAGGGCCACTCGCAGGGCTCCAGGCACTTCCATATCTCCATTCCCAGCCCCAAAAGTCACAGTGCCCCTTCTCCAGGCCAGGCCCAGGTGCGAGGGAGCCCGACGTCCCACCACACTCAACTTCATCTTGAATTCCCGACAGTCCTGTCATGGCTCCAGGGACAGCAGCCCCGGGTTTGCCCTGTGTCGTGTTCTGGGTACTCTAAACCAAGGGGCTTTCCTTTCCCAAGGCTTCACAGCAGGTAAGCTACAGAGATAAGAACCACGTCTAGCTACTTAGTCCACACCAGCCTCCCACCTGTCAGCCACAGGGCCGGCTGCCCACCCCACCCCTGGGAGGCTCCTGGGAGGAAGGGGTGAGGGAGAAGAGGCCTCTGTGGGAGACAGACACTGGCAGCTGCTCTGAGAACAAAACCCCTGGCCCCTCACCCGGGTCAGCAGGCAGCATCCGCATCCTCTCCAAGGCTTGAGGCTGGTGGGGAATGGACCACCGGGTCACTCTTTGCTCAGAGGAAACAATGGGGAAAGAGTGGGAGGAAATTGCTCACCCACTCCCCACCCTCTCCCCTCCAGACCTGTGAATACAGAGTAGCCTGGGGTGACAGGAAACTGGGTCATGCCAGCAGTGGTTCTGTGAGTCTCTGGTGCTCCTGAGCTGGTACAGTGAATAATGCCTAGATGCGGGGCTGAATTTTCCAACATAAGCCTGTGCTTCCCCAAGACACTGGATGCCCAAAGGCCCAGGTGTGCCCAGAAGATGGGAGCCTGACCTCTGCCTAATAAGAAGCAGCTGGGGACTGTGGCAGGGCCCTAACCCCAGTGCGATGAGGGCTGGTCACAGCTGGTTTTCACATTTCATTTCATTCTTACTTCACGCAGTCTGAGAGGCCAGGCTGCCTGCTGCTGGGGGAGCTGCCCTGACTGCCTGGGAGATCCCAAACTACTCGGCCTAGCACGGGGCCACTCTGGCATGATGTCAGTGTTCCCCAGAGGTACCACCAAGTCCTGGAGGGCTGGCTTTGTGACAAGTCTTGGGCCTTCATCTCTGCATTCACAGAGCAGGAAACTAAAGCTCAGAGAAGGTGAGCACCTTCTCTAAGGTCACCCAGTCAGCAGGAAGTGGAGTGGACCCCATGCCAAGCCTCCCTGGTGCTGGGGCTGGACTCTTCTCCACTTTCTGGGACAGCATCTCCTGCAGGACCAGGAGCCACCCCTCTCCATCACCAGCCACCCTGACTGCACAGATCTGGCCCCGGCATCAGCCAGCATTTCCCTCCCTGCATCTTCCTGCCCAGGAGGCACAGAACAAATCGCCCCTCCCTTGATGGGCCTGCCAATCCCTTCTTCTGCTGGGCTCCACCCGCTCTTTCTGATGTGCCAGGACCTCAAGATGCTGTTGCCACAGCCCTCAAGCCCTGCGCAGGACCCGGTGGCGGCACAGCCACATTGCGTCTTGCTGCTGACGCGGTGCGTGTTTGGCCTGAGCTGGGCTGGGGCAACTATTCCAAATATGTGCCAACTTTTGGGTTAATTGTAAGATATCTGCCGTGGGATGACACCACAAGGCCAAGCTGGAACCAGCCAGTCTCCTGTTACATGATGACGAGGAACGGTGGCTGGGACAGGGAGTCCCCCGTCCACCGAGAAGAGGCTCAGCCTGTCCGGTGGAGCAGGCCACAGTGTGGGGCTGGCCCACTGGCTCTTGGCTGGACTTGCTGAAGAAGCGGTGCTAGGTGGCTTCAGTGCTGCCCAGACACCCACCCAAGGTGCTTTGCTTTGCCTCCTGGGCAGCCCTGGAGATCTGCGCAGCCTTTGTCTCCCTAGAGCTCACGCTAATCCCCTCCACAGAGAGACCACGGCTGCTGAGGGGCAGAGGAGGAGACAGGAGCTCAGACAGAGTTCAGTCAAGGCTCAGGGAAAGAATATTGGCTTAAGAGAAAAGGGTGAAGAGAACAAAAAATAAAAGACAAATTACCGGGTAGCCATCTCGTCCTGATTGCCCCTGTGGTAATTAATACGTCATTAATAAAGAGACTTTTAGCAGAAACCATATGGCAACACTTAGAACTCAATCAGGGCCCGGCCCCCCATCTGCCCCCGAGTCTCGTGGTGTGCAGCGGAGACAGCTGGTGGTGACTCGCTCTGTAGGGGGAGGACTCAAGGGCTCTGGGGGTCTTGGGGGCAGAGCACCCCTTTCCTGCCTCGGAGGGCTAGGCTGGAGGGATGGACGAGGAGCCTCAGGGCTTCATGGGGCCCTGGGCATAGTCCCATGTGTATCCTCCCCACACTAGCTAGGCATATGGTAAATGCCACGTGGGGATGTCGGGTTCCAGCGTGTGGAGCCACAGCCACATGACCCAACCAGAAACTGAAGATGTTCCTTAAGCTGGGCCTGCAGAGAGGCCTGGAGGAGAGCCTTGTTTCCTCTCAGTTGCCGCCGGGATGGGGTGAACTGAGAAAGAGAGCTTTGGAAGCTGTGAATATGGGTGGCATTCACTGTGGCTGGATGCTTCTCTGCCCTCTTGGGTCCCTGGAGCAGTGACCACCCTGGCTGTGCCACACTTTGCCACCCATCTCCCAGGTCAGACCCTTCTAGGTTGCAGCTTGAGAATTTCTGCATTTATTTAATACATTTAATATTTTAATCACCAAGTTAAAAAAAATCACACCATAGCCCCTGGCGTTAGGTACTTCAGCAAGCTCACGCAGGCTAACCTCCCTGAGACAGCCAGGAAGAACTCCGCAGCGGAATGTTGCTTGAGGCCAATAAATGGACACAGTTCTGCTGCCTTGCTTTTTGGCTCATGGTGGGGCTGCAAGCACCGAGCAGCCCAGATTCCGAAGGGCACTGATCAGGAAATGAATCACGGTACATGGAAGTAAAAAATAAAATGGCTCATCTGAAAGGAATTCCTTGAAAAGGCTGATTTTGGCTCCGGCTGACTGTCAATGTGCTTCTTGAATGGACTAATTGGGATTTATCAGGCTTTGAAAAACTGACAAGACAAATCAAAGACAGGCACATCTTGCGCCATGAATAATGAATGGGGTTTCTAGGGCCACTTGCAATCCCCTGCATCCAAAGCTGTCTCTGGCTGGCCAGGAGATGTTCAGGGGGGCTGCCCAGTGCTTCCCCTCATACCCTTCACACCCCTCACAAATGCAGTGACATTTTTCCTCCTGCCCCAGCGCAACAGCCTCACCAGCCAGCTGTGTTCACAAGGTCTCAGCTGTCTGATCCACATTCTGGCAAGGAAGAAAAATGAACCCCAGGGTCTAGCGATCAAGCCTGACTTATTCCTCGGACAACTGCCTGACTTTACGGCCTTTCCGCCAAATCATGGGACACTGAAGCACTAGCATTTAGAAACATCAACTGCCACAGAGCACTTTAAAACTATGGGCATAGTGCTAACATCTCTGTGCACCAAAGTGAGCTTAAGATTTGGTGAGGAACAGCCAGGCTTGTGCCGCTGTCTCTCTTGCAAGGTCAATGGTCCCAGAATGTTCCAGGGGACAGGTCAAGCCTGCGGAATTTTGTGTCTGCATTCATCCACAAATTAACAAATAACATGACTCCCGTATAGGACTGATTTTTTCCCCCAAACACGTGATTTTTGGTTTTTGTTTTTGAGATGAAGTCTTGCTCTGTCTGTTGCCCAGGCTGGAATGCAGTGGCATGATCTCAGCTCACTATAACCTCTACCTCCTGGGTTCAAGCAATTTTCATGCCTCAGCTTCCCAAGTAGCTGGGATTACAGGCACCTGCCATCATGCCTGGCTAATTTTTGTATTTTTAGTAGAGACAGGGTCTCACCATGTTGGCCAGGCTGGTCTCAAACTCCTGACCTCAAATGATCCACCCACCTCGGCCTCCCAAAGTGCTGGGATTACAGGCGTGAGCCACCGTGCCTGGCCGCTTTTTAATAGGACCTATTTTTTTTGAGGACATACCTCCCTAACCAAAATTATTTTCATGGAATTGCAACAGAGAGAGAGCCAAACATCTTATCTTTCAGAAGCAGACAGCACAGTCCAGGACACTTACTGGAGGACCTGCAAAACACAAGCAGAGAAGCCACAGTCAGCGTTGAAGGCAGAGCCGCCTCGCCAGTCCTCAGCACAGTTCCCGGCCACCTCTCCCTGCAAGGCTTTGAAGCTGCCATGGCTGTCTCCTGGCCTCGAAATCAGGCATCAGGCCTGAAGCTGGGGGCAGAGCAGAAGGAGCACGTTTCCCTTGGAGGGGCCGGTGGTGACAATTCCCACCGGCATGGGTGCATGCATTTATGTCACCAGGTGGCTTTTGTTTCTGGCACTGAGTAGGAATCAGAACTTGTTCCTACTTGAAGAACGAGCTCTGGTGCTCCTGAGGGGATGGTTTGTTTCTACTGAGGAGAGAGACTAGGGGAGTAAACATTTTGGACAGAGGGAATGCTGGGAGTAAGGGCAAATGGGTGTGGCTGAACAGGCTTTTTGAAGGAGGAGTTCCTGCAGCCCAGCCCCAGAGTTGGAAATGCATGAGGAGTAGCAGGCGCTGGGACTGGGGCTGGGGCTGGGGCTTGCCTACCAGATGGAGTCTCACAGAGGACAATTAGGGTACCCACCGGGGCTTCCCCTCACAGCCTGTGAAGCACGTCGTATGGCTGTTATTGCATCTGACCTTCCCAACCATCTTTTGTGAGAGGTCTGATGAACATCTCTACTGGACAGCTGGCAACGCAGAGGCTCACAGGGCAGCGACTTGTGTGGGGCCACAACATTGGTTAGGGGTAGAGCGAGCGCATGCTGGATGGAGGGAGTCTCCCAGCTGTACCACCCCTTGGCGCTGTGCACTAAGCCACCCCGCTGCCAAACAGACCCCGAACATCACTTGAGAATGAGGCCGCACGGGGAGGCAGCACCCGGCAGTCAGCGGCCGGCACAATTTGCATGTCACAACTATGAGCCAGGAGCCATGGGGGGAGCTAATGGGACCGGGGGTGAGTGCAAGACGTAAGACCCCTGGCTCACCAATGCTGATGAAGCAGACAGATCCTCAAGAGAACAGCTACACAGGGAGAAGGCCAGGAAGCTCTAAGCACAGCACAAGGGCCCTGACCCAGCCTGGGCCGAGTGCGGAGGGTGAGAAAAGAGGAGAGAGGAGTGTTGCAGAGATGAAAAAATCAGAACATGCCAAGATCATGGGCTTTTGAGGAACCAGGAGAAGTGGAGGCCAAGGCAGCCGTGGGAGGGCTGGAGAAGGTAGGGCCAGCCAAGCCCAGGGTTTGTTTCCATGTCACGGTCTGGGGGGGCTTGGTTCTAAGGGTAAAGGGGAGTCAGCAAAGGGTTCTGCATGGAGGAGTGATGGGGAGGGGCAAGAGTTCCCCTGGAGATGCGCCAAGGTGTCCCCGTGCAGGTGCTGGTGGGCGAGGGGGAGAACGGAGAGTCAGGAGATGGCTGTCAGAAGAGAGACGGGGTTTACATGGTAGAGGGTGCACGGGGGAGAGAGAGATGACAAGGATTTCTGGCTTGAAACACTGATGTGCGCCTATCCAAGAATGATGACATGGGGGACAGTGGTTTTCCCAAGTCTAGATCAGGGGCAGGGCAGAGCAAGATGGTGGCAACTGGGACATCCCATGGAGCTGACTCCTCACTGTCAGCCAATGACATTGATTCCTATTTTCCAAAGAAAACAAAAGTTGCTGGACAGGTTCACCATTGCCTTTCCAACGCTGGATGCATCTGCGCCTGTACCTGTGCCTCTGCCTGCACAGAAACCTCAGCGTGCCCTGCCCCTGCGCCGCCCCCGTGCACACCTGCGTCTGTGCCTCCATCTGCACCTGTGCCTATACCTGTACCTGCCTCTCCACCTGCCCCTGCCCTGCAATCTGCTCCGGCACCTGCCCTCCTCTCCATGCCCCTCAGGTTAACTCGCAGGAACTGACCCACCTTCAATTCAGGCCACTGTCCCCTCTGTATTGCCCAGAGCCTGGCCCCATCTGCGGTCCCTCTGGATTTTAGTCAAGCTTGCCCTGTCAAGCAGGTCCTGCCCGACACCTCTGAAACACGCTCTCATTCCTTGGATGGCAAAGCAATCTCTCAGTCACACACCCCCTTCTATTCCTGCCCTACCTCTGCTCTTTTCCTCACAGCCAGAAAGAGTGGGAGGTGGCTTCAGAGGGGTGATGGGGTGGGGTGATTGGGTAGGGCCTTGGCCATTCTTAGGACTTCGTCTTTTCTCTGAGACAGAAGCCCTGACAGGGTTTTGAGCACAGAGAGAATGTGGTCTGGCTCATATTTGAAAAATCCCCTGTGTTGGATGGCAGGGGTAGAACCCAGAGGCTACTGTGTGCTGCGGGGAGAGAGGATGGTGGCTCACAGCTGGTGGTGACAGTGGAAGTGGTGGATGTGGTTGGGTTCTGGATTGATTCTGACAGCACAGCCAAGAGGATTTCCCCAGTTTTGGCTTGAGCAACTGAAAGGATGCGGCTGCCATCAACAGAGGTGGGGAGGTAGTGGTGGAGCAGGTTTGGCTGAAGGGGTCAGGAGCTTGGCACACAAGGAATTGCTGCAAGTTGGAGAGAAGATAAGGAAGTCCTGGAAGTGAAGTAGAGAAAGTGTCTCAGGGGGGAGAGATCACCTGTGCACAGGACACAGTGATTGCCCTGCTGACGGGTCGAGTGAGGAGACCGGGAACTGGATGCAGCAACGCAGAGGCATGTTCAGGAAGTGATGGGAGTCGGGTCTGATGGGAAAGGGTTTCGGAGAGAAGGGGGTGGAGGGATGCAGACAGTGGGTGCTTTTGGGGAGCTCCGCTGCAAAGGGAAGCAAAAGAACTGTTGCTTTGTGGCGGTGGGGCCTGGAGACGGGTATTTCTTTAGGATGAGAGACATGGCACCATGCTTGTAGGATGGGAATGGTCCAGCAGAGGAAGAGGAGGGGAGATCCCTGGAGCAAGAGGGGAGTAAGAGGGGCTGGCTCCTGGCGCTGGCACAGAGGGGGCCTGGACAGTGCTTCCGCGGGGATAGCAGGAGGAGGAGTGCCTGGCGCTGCTAGGCATGTGGCCATGGAGGTGGCGCTCGGGCAAGTTCTCTTCTGATGGTGCCAACTCTTTCGGTGAAGTAGGAAGTGAGGCCATCAGCCTCGGTGATGATGGTGCAGGAGATGTTCAGGGATGGAGTGGGGAGAGTCTGAATGGGCTGGACAATGTGGCCTCAGCCAGGCAGCAGAAAGGGCCACGGGGGGCTGTAATGTGGAATTCAAAGGGAGACGATGGGGGTGATCTGCCTGTACTGGAGTGCAGCGTGTGGAGGGCTGGCTTCAGTTTGGGGTGGGGCTTTTGGGGAGTGAGAAGGAGGGAGCAGGGAGGAGCAGGGAAGTGACACGGGAGAGCTGTCGGGGTTCCAGCTGAAGGGCTGAGGGCTGAGGGGTGAGGGGTGAGGGTCAAGGGGCTGGGATCCATGCATCTGAAGGCTGGAGACAGATGGGTTGTGACAGTCAGGGAGTGGGAGCGGGCTGGAATTTGTGAACTGAGAATTTGTGCATGCTGCATTTATATCTGGCAAGACCTCGGGAGGGAGATGTTGTGGTCGGGGGAGGCCAAGCCTATCGGAGGAGAGGAGGCAGTGGAGTCCTGAGGCCAGCCTGTGTAAGAGGCTTCTATGTGGCTATCAAGATTCATAGGAATTAACCCAGAAGTATTGTGGGAGAGAGGGCTGGTGAGCCAGGGGCTGGAACCAACTAGCAACGAGGTAGGTGCACCTGGGATCAGAGATGGCTTTAGGAATGATGCCCTATCACCACCCCGGTCTCCCTTTCTGGGGCCAGAGTCAGGTTTCTTAAAATGCGGATCTGATCCTGAAACTCCCTCCTCACTGTCTTGTTCCTAAGACAAAGGCCCGAACCCAATGGTGCCTTCCATGTGGTAACGTGTCTCCCCCAACCACCATCTGGCTCCATCCACAGTGCTCCCACACCTGAGCCTCTGGGAACGGTAGGGGGAGATGTGTTATAACCATGAGTTATCATGAAAAAATGAAATTAGATCCATGCCTTAGCATCAACCGGGAAAAATTCCAAAAGGATCAAAGATTTTACATGTTAAGAAAACCATAAAAATCCTAGAAGAAAATGTGGGAACATTCCTTTCTAGTCTTAGAGAGGGGCAGGCTTTTGCACCTATGGTTCATAATCCAGAAGCCAGAAAAGAGAGGTCTGATCCAACCATATAAACCCCCAAAATGTCTGCAAGGCAGAAAGTCTTGGAATAAAGTCAAAAGCCAACCTAGGCCGTGCACGGTGGCTCACACCTGTAATCCCAGCACTTTGGGAGGCCGAGGCAGGCGGATCACTTGAGGTCAGGAATTTGAGACCACCCTGGTCAACATGGCAAAACCCCATCTTTATTAAAAATACAAACAAAAAAAAGAAAAGAAAAAATTATCTGGGCATGCTTGCATGTGCTTCTGATCCCAGCTACTTGGGAGGCTGAGGCAGGAGAATTGCTTGAACCTGGGAGGTGGAGGTTGCAGTGGGCCAAGATCACGCCACTGCACCCCTGCATGGGTGACAGAGTGAGACAGTATTGCTCAAAAAAAAAAAAAAAAAAAAAAAAAAAGCCAACCTAGGAAAAATATATCTAACTCATGTCACAAAGGCCAGATACCTTGACATAAAAAAGAAAAACACTCCTACATCTCTTTAAACGTCAGCAACCTAGTAAAAACAATATATCCAAAGGTATGAATGAAGTGGTCACAGAACAGAAAATACAAATAGCCCTGAAATAACTGGATTATGAACGAGGATTAACTTTTGTAGCTACAAGTGCTAATCTTCATTCATAATAAAAGAAACAAAGGTTAAAATTCCAATCCTATCAGGTTAAAAAAATGAAAAAAATCTCATGAGCTACTGTGTGAAGGGCAATGAGGACAGTCACCTCATACACTGGCGAGAGGATAAATTGGAACCTTCTCTCTAGAGAGTGATCTGGCAATACTCATTAAGATTTAAAAGGTATATGCCAATTGCCACAGCAATTATCCTCCTAAAAATACATTCTGCAGCTACGT